AGAGAGAGAGAGAGAGAGAGAGAGAGAGAGAGAGAGAGAGAGAGAGAGTAGAGGGAGAGAGAGAAAGCGTCAATAGTATGCGCGAACGATCGCTGTCTCTTGCAAATTAGATATGCCGTGGCCGTTTCAGAGGAGACACGGCGCCGGCATAATGTCGACTGCTCTTTTGTTGCGCGTCGTTATTTATTATTATTAACCCTTCCCGGGGCCCTTTTGCAGCTTCGCCGAAGAAGCGGTCTCATTAGAGCCCAGCGCGCGGGCAGACTCGTTCGAAATGTTGCCTAACGAAATGTCGTCTCTCTCTTTGCTTTGCAGTATAACATAAAGAAAAGGGAAGAGGTCCAGGAAATGCCACAGGAAGAGCCTAATCCTCTGATGCGCAAGAAGAAAACGCCGGAGGAGTTGGCGGCCGAGGCCGAGGCCGAGGACGAGGACGAGTTCACCAGTACGTAGCGCACGAAATATTCTCAACGACACACGTAACCACGGGATATAGAATTAACGTTCTATATCTAGTTGGCGAATATAGAGCGCGACATTGGCCAAGAATATATTTTCGTCCATCTCTCCCTCTCTCCGAGAGGAGAGAATAAGGAGAGTATGAAGTATAAAGGGGAAAAGGGAAAAGACAAGAAGGACAGAAAAGTCGGACGAACGAACGAACGAACGTTCCCAGAGTCATACTCGCCTGACTGTTTGACTAACATTATGAATAAAAGAACGCGCCCTCACATTATCACCGACTATTTGAACTACAAATTATACGTTTCCCGCAGAAGGCTGCGAGAGAGCCTGAGATTATGTCAATCTATTGATTTTCTGTACATATCTAATGCGCGATTTCCACCATCAAAATAATAACGTAGGGCACACACACTCTATCAATTTCGCGGATCGCGATTCCGAAAGCGCGCGGCTCCGAGAATACCCGCCGCGTCGCTGTTTATTACGAGACGAGGAAGACGCGACTCGCGCGATTCTTGCCCGCGCTAATTCGCGGCAATGCATCGAGGAATAAATCCACCCTCTAGGGAAATTATCGCGGGCTATATACACGTGTATGTGCATATACATGCGCGCCGTGGCAACACACCAGAGAGATTCGGAAACAATTTCTGCCAGCGCCGCCCGGGAGCATCCGAACGTGCACACTAATGTCATTAATAAATTATTATTCGTCCTAATGTGTGTCGCGCGATTAATGTGCGCACGATGTTTGTCGCAGAACTCACCCTCTTCAGGAGAGAGTTTCGGTTTCAACGCAAATCTCGAGTTGAGTCGCGAAGTCGGTTCTCTCGAATTAAGAGGCCAAACCAATGTAACGCTCTGAGAAAAATGTATTTTTAGGAATTAATTTTGTGAAAATGAATCGACTGGGTATTTTAAAACATTTTATATTAATTAAGTAACTATTAAACTTTATTACTATTTTTGTTATTTGGAAGAACCAATAAATAAATGTGCAGCATGTGGCCGACTGTAGAAAATGTCGCTGCAAGTCGGAAAGATAGTGCCGTTTTAGTGACCTGATAGACCAAAAAGTTTCTTAAATAATGTGCTTTTAGTGAGAGAATAAAAAATTCAGAAAAATATTAAGCTTAATATCTTTTTTAATGGTGCAAAATAAAAAAAAAGATGCGAAATTTAGTTATTCAATTTTTAAACGGCTATTGTTTCTGCAATTTTTGTTTCATAGCTCAAAATTTAGGTTCATTCTCCAACTACAAGCATATTATTTAAGAAACTTTTTGGTTTTTCATCTCAGATCTCTAGAATGGATACTATCTTTCCCGTTTATATTTCCCGATATTTTTTTGCAGATTTTTTTGCACATGCTGCACATTCATTTTTCTAAATAATAAAAATAGTAATTAAACGTTTAATGGTTACTTAATTAATGTACAATGTTTCAAAACATTCGCTCGATCGCATAATTAATTCCCAAAGATACGCTTTTTTTCAAAGCGTTACATCGGTCTGGCCCGAGACGCGGTCGCCTCATTAATCCAACAAACAAAGAAAGAGAGGCGAGAGAGCCGAGGGACACGTGTAACGCACTTTCTGCTTTGACTGTTGCAGAACTGAGAAACACGATAGAAACGCAGGTGAACGAGCTCAAGTCTCAAATCGAAAGTAAGTGCAGCCTCCAATGAGTCTATCACATCGCGCGGTTCGCGAGAAGGGTGACGCCGTGCGTCGTCAAAATCGCATCCGCCCCACATCCTTCGGTGCCCGGAACAAAGAGGAAGGGGGTAGCAGAGATAACGACAGAGCAGCGAAAAAGAGGAACAATACGCGTAGCCGCGATCGTTGCCGGCGTGTCGACCAATCGCAGTAGATCGATTCCAGACGCGGTCGATTGGTCGATCGTTGCTTAAACCGCGAACGACGAGCGCGGGATCCGAGGGGCTCTCTCTCCCCGGAGGATCTCGAGGCTTCGTTTTTTCCCCTCCCTTCCCCTCCTTTTTTTCCTTCCTGAAGGACTCCTCGTCGTCGTGTTTGGACGCAACCGAAAAGCGGAAACGATCCTGTCGAGGATTCCGTTCTGCACGAAGATAGACAAGCGAGAATCGAGGCTGGAGATCCGGAGAGGTGGAATTATTCCCTCGCTCGCGCGCGACACGAAAGAACACGAAGGTGAAAGATATGTTTAATTTGACATTGAGATTCTCATGGAGTATCCAAGACTGCTGCAAATCTAAGCGAATTCAAACAGATCACCGGAGATTGTCAATAGAAGCTGAAACCTCAAACGCGAATCAGCAACCGCAAACGCAACATTGGAATTTAAACGACGTTTAAGCGACGTGCGACGATGTTCGGCGAGAACGATTCGGTAGATGCCTGCTGAAGGAGGAAACGTCGGAGTCAAGTCTCCCGATTGTTTACGACGAGCGACTGCGTACACTTGGATCCGGCGTCCATAAATTTCCCCGACTTCGTCCGGTTGGAAGTGTTCTCGGAACTCTCTTGATCAGACGAACGCGCGTGGGAAATTCACCCGACAGATATATCCCTGATATTTTCCCGGCACAGCGTAACGAAGAGACGCGTAGAAATTGACGACATCGAAGATAAATGGAGACTCGGAAATCACCGCAAAAATCGACGCGCGGCCGATGATCGCCGTCCTCAATCAAGGATAATGTGAGAAATGAATATTGCGAATCGATCGATCCACGTTTCCCAGTAGAGAGGAGAGAAAATTGCCCACAAGCCAATATCGCGGAAGGAATTATGAATCTAGAAACCCCCTGCTGACCTTCCATCTGATTCAAAAGTAAACCATCTGACAAAATGGAAGAGGATCTCGAGGAGAGTGCAAGAGAAGAGAGATGGCTCGAAGTTGAAAAATATTATCGATCGTCGATAGTGTCCGTGGTGGAGAAATGTACGGTGAAAGTGATGTGAATGAATGATAAAAACGAGAGAGAGAGAGAGAGAGAGAGAGAGAGAGAGAAAAAGAGAGAGAAAGAGAGAGAGAGAGAGAAAAAGAGAGAGAAAGAGAGAGAGAGAGAGAGAGAAAAAGAGAGAGAAAGAGAGAGAGAGAGAGAGAGGGAGAGAAAGAGGGAAAGAAAGAAAAAGAGAGAAAGAGAGAGAATGCTGACTAGACCAGAGTGTGATTTTTTTATGTAATTGTTGCAGTTAAAAGTGCGAAATGACGTTGTTTTATAGAATAATTAGGTGTTCTGTAGAATGTTTAGGCGTAGTTATAGTTTGTAACGAATCAATTTTATCCGGTACGGGCGGGTGAGGTATTCACACCGTGGATACCGCGTTATTTTCTATTCGTAGTTCGTCTAGGTATTCTACACGGTTATGGAGAATTTTTGGCGCGATTTGGTGGTTCGAAAAAACAACAACAATAACAAAAAAAAAAAAGTAACTATTCGTTATCGGGAACTGTATACATATATACACATATGTACACATACACGTATATACACGACGGTGTGGGTTAAACCGCATTACAATCCGCATTACAACGCGATTTCTTTATCTAGGTATTTTACCGGATACCTAGTTATTCTATAGCCTTTTCTCACACAGAAGCAAAAAGTCGATATCACCATTGTCGTACGACCGACCTTCTCGGACGTGCTGATTGATTCTCAGATAGACAGACGGGAGGGGGGAAGAATCTCCACGGATGCGTCCTCTCCCGCGAGTTTCTTCTTTTTTTTTTCGGAGGATCATCGAGAGACTTCGTGAGTCCCGTGTCCGACAAGCAATAACGTCCAGCACGAACACATTCGACAAACTGTCGTACAACAAGAGTAATATCGTCCTTAGGGTCAGATGTACTTATTGGCTGTCGAATGGGAAACTTCTGAGACAGTTGGAAACTTGAGAAACGCGGACCTCAAAACTTACCTATTAGATAGCCAATCAACAACTCCGACGAACTCGTCGCACGAAAACTGTATTAGCGTTTAGACAGTCTGGATTAACTAACGCGGTCTGGTTTAACTGTTGCCCCTTTCTACACGATTATCAGATCGTCTTTATAACGTCCTTTTTACTTAGGCGGTAAAACGTGCGCGGCCTTTGACTATAAAAGTACTGACTGCTGGCTCTGCGCGAAAAACCACCACCCCCTTCCCCTCCCTATTCTTCTTTCTCCCCTTTCGTGAACCCGACGCGCGTCAAGACGTGCAATAGACATATCAAAGCCGGATAGACTCGCCTCTAGTGCGTCCGAATCTCGTAACAGTTTGATTTTTATATAACTGGTGGCTCGAGTCCGGGTGCCTGACTGACTGGCCGACTGTCTAATTGATTGATTGATTGATCCGATCAATACACACGACGGCGGGCAGAGGTGGGAGAGTGGTTGCACAACCCATAGAGCGCGCGATATTTCCAAGGGGAAAAGGGAAACGGCAAAGGAGAAGACCGCGAAATTCACATCGTTACTTCCCCGACCGCGCAGCGCGAAAGCCCGCTGAATTTCACGCTGGCTGTCGTTATTTTATAGTTAATGGCCGGGTCCTTTTTGGGGAATCGAGAATTCAATTACGACGCAGCGTCATCTGGTCGCGCAGCATACCGGCACTCCGCTGCAAACATCGCTTGCAAATTACCACGTGCTCGGAAACGACGTGCAGAGAGCGAAACGCGTCCGTGTTGCTCCTCTCGCTCGTCACGACGATGAATCTTAATTAATAAATAAATAAATATATATATATACATATACACACACGCATAAGTATATATATAGATAAAATAACATAAGAAAAGACGAAAGAAGTAAAAAAAAAGGGACGTATGTTCTAGCGCTTAAGTTTTTAGGAACGGGTTTTTTCGAATATAGCGAACGTAATAAGAGGAGTAAACGGTAGCTGAGTTATGTAGTTGATAGAGGTTTGTTCGACGGCTGTTTCAATATTACAGGCAGGGGGAGGTAGGGGGAGGGTGATGACAAGGAGGAGGAAGTTTCTTATTAGTCTCGTTGATGTCATGATTATTATTATTATTATTATTATTATTATCATCATCAACGCGCTAATACGGTTATTAATTATTCGAGAGCAAAAAGTTGACGGAATCCGAAAGGATGACCATGACGCGTGAGAGATGGTAATTGGCAGTCCTCGCTCTGCCATTCGTCCATCGTCATAATGTGATAAACGTAATCTACTTCTGATTTAATCGTCATCGCAAAGAGAATGATCCTGTTATTTAAATCGTAGTAGAGGATTGTTATTCCGTAATTTATACCGCGTCGATTTAACACCTAGTCGTGTACGTTGTATTTGTTTCATACGCGTGACTCAATTTCTAGGTCTTCTCTCTTAGGATCTTCTCCGTTCGTTGCATCAAATGCGAATGCATAACAATGGGATAAGCTGAGCAGAGCATTGACTGCTAGTTCAAATCCAATATGTGCGACTTAAAAGCGTATTTATATAAATATATATATATATATATATATATATATATATATATATATATATATATATAATCATGTGATATATTCTCACTTATATTAAACGAGAAAATTTTTCAATCTGACGCACCTATCGATTCCGTTTACTACGCGCGGGGTATTTCGCGCGCGATCAGTTTTCTCTGATTTTCTCCACAGCGATACACGTATATTATATTGCGGAAATTAACGCGAAACTTGTTAACCTTTAACACTCGCCGTAATTGGACTTTCCCGATGAAATTCTTATTCGCGAAAGAAAATCGGTTTTCGTATTTTTTAGAGCGCCGTATAATTCCGGAAATTCCCTGTGTGCGTTTTAGCAGCGCATATATATCCGGGATACACTTGAGGTTCGTACGAGGCAAGTCGCAAAAACGGGAGCAGACGTAAAAGACGTGAAAGAAAAAAAAAAATGAAAAAGAAAAAAAATACATTTAGTATATAAAACCATTTTTGTACGGGAGACGGAGAAGTAAAATGTATTTTTTTATTTTGGACGAGGTATAAATTCCGATGTAGCGATATAGAGTTTCCTTAACCCTCAAACGGCAGGGTAAAAAAGAAGTGTTGAATAATGGATTAGTAGTGCACACTCAATTCGTGATGGAGAAATAATAAAACTTAACGACACGACAAATTCGTCTTCATAACCGACTGAGTGGCGTGAAAGCGAACTGACGATAAGAGATTATCGCGAGCATACTTTTCTCATTTTTCTATACCAAGCATCTCGATGAACGGCATTTTTTACGGCGAATGTTCACCTCTTCGTTTCACAACACGTTTTGAATTCGAATGGAACGCGAAATATCTGTATCCGATTATCCGAGCAGGCACGTCAGATTCCACGAAGCTCGAACGATTCCGGCGGGATGCTTGGAAATGTTGATAACGACAGCGAGTCACTTCGACGTCACTCGATCGGGTTATGATCAAACAATCGTTAAAGAGTCGTTCTAGAAGTATGATTATTAAATCTGTCCACTTTTTTCTATCCTTCTCTCGAAACACGGACAGCTCTCTGGCCTGTTCGTGTTTCTTCGCTGTCAAAACGTTTCTCCCTACAGACTCGATCTCTTCCGAGCACACAGCCTCCCAGTCGTCAAAAAAAATAAAAATAAAAAAATAAAAAAACGAACTTATCAAAACTTATCCGGTTTCTAGACTTTTCTCGTTTCGCGGATTTTCGAATTCCTGATCACTTGCACGTCCGAATCGCGGCCGAGCCTCGCTCAATGTGAGGATTCGGGAATTTAAAAATCGCGTCTCTCTTTACTTATCCTTCTCCTTGTTCCTTTCTCTCCCCTTTCTTCTCTCCTCGCTACCTCCCGCTGTCTCGCGAACTCTCCTTCTCCAACGAGACGCGATCTGACTCCGATTTATTCTCACCTTCATGATTTCTTCTTACGCGTACCGCAATGCCGATTGCACCGATCTCAGTTGAGCTGAACAGCTCTTACAGCTCTCTTTTCACAACAACATTGTTGAGAGGACTGTCAGTGATCTTTCTTCTTTCGCAAGTGCATTGCGAGCTGTTGCGTGTCCTGCGCAACTCCGTCGAAATTGCGCGCGAGGACAACGCTCACGTTGCTCAGGTACCATTCGCGTCCGCCTGTTTTTTCCGTTAACGTCGATTCGTCACGCGTGACTGACGCGATTATTATGTTTGCGCAATTATCACGCCCCAAATTCCCCGAATCTGATATTCCGTATTAATTACCGCTGAGCAAACGGCATTATTCCGCAAACGCAAACAGTGGTCTCGGGAGTGGGTCGCGCGCTTTGCCTCCCTCCGCATTTATTTCCCCGTCGTGAAAAACCGCCAACTTTCTCCCGCGCAGGAAACCACGGTAAAGCACGCTTCGCCGTTCAAGTTTGGCGGCCGAAAGTTTCGCGAAAACCGCTGACAACGCGCTCCCCTCTTCCCTCTTTCTCCTGCCTCATACGTTCTCAGTTTTATCCGTCTCTCCTCTCTCCGACATTCCGTGACTACCTCTCTACCTCTTTTCCTTCTTTCTCTCTCTCTCTCCCTCTCTCTCTCCCCCCCTCTCTCTCTTTCCTCTCCTGTCCATCTGTCTTATCCTTCGCTCGATCGAGGGGAGACAGCGAAGTAAATTAATGGCTTTCGGCGGATTAAATTCGCAATATTTCGGGACGGGCAGATAATATTTCTCTCGGGTTGCAATTACTTTCGTACTTTGGCACGGAGTTGCGCAGAAGAAAAGGGAAATTATCTCGACTAACACAGAAGACTAACAATCTCCAACTATCCTCGAGTACAATAATCGAGGAGGACGATCGTCCAATGTATACAAAAATGCTGCAGGATGCAGGAGAGGGGGGCGGAATTAATTGTCACGGCGTTAGGTTCTCGATGTGTAACGAACGATGTGTAATAACCTCTTTCGCCTTGTCGATGTGCGTTTCTCCGCTTGTCGTGTCTTTTTCCACGTCGATGTCGCTGGCTGACCGGCTGATCTTCTTCGTCGCAGCTTAATGATCGTGCATGACTGTCTGGCTGACGATCTTCGAAAATTACCCTGTGACGGGTAATTCGTTTGAGCCTCCGAAAAAAATGAAAAAGAAAAAAAAAGACGGAAAACGGCATAGACGGTGTTTATCAAAGCTTACCGTGACCTCAACTCAAAAAGAAGCTGAACTAATTTCTGTCGCGCGCGTTTTTCATTCCGGCAAGGTATTCCGCGACGCGCGCGCATTTTGTTTCGTCCTTTCAAAATTTTAGCAAAAAAGAAAAAGAAAAAAAGAATGATATGCAACACAACTCGAAGTCTGTTACAAAACGTACAAGACAAAATAAACATCAATTGTATAATTTAAAATTCTAATCTATTATATTGTGACAATATGTTATTTAAACACATAACGCTATATTATAATAGCGTAGAATTAAAATAACGTTAGCTCTCTGTTTCCTTTTTTTTTTTTTCATAATTGTCGTAAGTTTTTAACGTTCATGCGTTGCAGAATTTGTTTGGAATATTCGTGGCCAGCCTCTCTTTAGCTTTAAGGTACGAATTAATATATAATTAAAGAAGAAAAATATATATATACACATACAAGAAGATTATATATATATACACGCATACAATACATATATACATATATATATCTAAATATTTTGTTATCAAAGCTGAAAAGAAGACAAATGGATGACGAGGTCATTTTCGAAGATCCGATCTCGGCCAAAATCTACGCTCTTTCCTCTAAATCGTCTTGCATGCTCGACCGGCCTGATCGAATCTCGCAACCCTGCGACAAATGAGGGTTTAGGGG